TTTGTTAGAAGAAAGTGTAACTTTAATGAAAGAATTTATCTGATCCTCATCAAGCAGATATTGCAATTTACACAATGTAAGAGCACAATGGCCATATTCTCTTACATGTAAATTGAGCTTTAGTCTAAATATTTGAACTGTATCCTCTTGAAAGTTTAATATCATCCCAGCTTTCTTCATAGACTGTTTTGATACTATACAATATGATGGTATATCACTACCTATAATACCTGTGTTAATCATGACTAACTGTAGCAATTATAGCTGGAATACAAGCAAGTCATAGAGAAGAAATACATTTGCCATCTCCAAATTTGAAAAACATTTTTACTTTGTTTGCATATTACTTTCTTTTTTTATCATCATCATCCAAGGAATCAGAACACTTAAACCATACTTCCCCACACATTGTACCACTACCAGCATAGTATAGAATCCCACAATTCTTTGACTCTCTGACTAGCAACTTGTTATGATATGGTGTACTACAAACAGATTAGGATAAGGGTATATGTTTATGTAATTCCCTGTTGAGTCATTTGTTAATCTAATGGTTAATAGCCCATATTCACGAAACCTAGATTACTTTCCAAATCAATCAAAGTGATTTTCCCCCTTTTCTGCTAATGTTCAGTACTGCTACAGTATGGTCTTTGATAATTCTGATCATTAGTAGGATTGTTATAGTATCGAAAGCATCTACTATTACAGCCATAAAAGATATCAGATTCCTCAAATTGAATTTTGTCTTCTACTTTTATTTACGGACATGAAGAGTAATCCAATCTATAATTTTTTTCAGTGTAATTTCATGTTCTTAAATGTAAGTACACTAATTGTATCTTTTATTGTTCTTGGTTATGCAGAAGATTTGCTGATTTCAACAAACTAAAACTGTTATATTCCATGCTAATAGGAATATATACTTGACAAACACAGTGAATAAATAAGTAAAGGTTTATTGTAAAACCAGTAAAATAAGAAATGAAGTAACAGTTATGCGCACGGTCGTTGCAAGTCAATCCTGTAGTGATTGCTACTATTGGAAGGTCAGTAGTTCTCGTATAAGTCTGAGTCTTACTCAACAAATCCCAGCAAGTTTCCTGTAGTCCGTTGCTTTACAGATACTTATAGGTAGTTACTACCTATAGTGTAGTCACTCATGGGGGTGAGAGGTTATTCCATTACATCAAAAACCAAGGATATCCTCAGACATTGACATGCTGTTTGACTTGATCTTTTAACATTTATCAAATTCATTACAATAATTTGTTATTGAGAGTTCTTCTGGTCTTTTATAATTTTCAAATTTCTCTAGAGCCTCAAAAACAAACTAAGTTTTATCCTCTTTAGATACAATTTATCTAGGACTTCTACTCACTTCTTCCTCATGAATTTTGTTTATTCCCAATTGTAAGACAGCATCCTTTACATCCTCATTGAGAATAAGGTCTATTGCTAGCCCTTGCTTTGTTTTCTCTAAATTAGTGAAACTTTGACAGATTTCTAATATGTTCCTCCATTTCCCATAATTATCTCCCTTCTTGAAAAATTGGTGGGGGCTTATTAAGGTTAGCTGAAGCCATGATAGAATTTTTTTTTTAAAGTATGTCAGTCAAATGCAGTGAAAGTGGCACAATTAATACAAATTCCTTACTAGTTCAAAGGTGATGTAGAATAACTTGGTAATGACTACATTCAGTTAAACACAGAAACAACAGTAATACATTCCATACAAAAAAAACACAAAATCTTTCAATTCAGAGTACAGAGATTTGATTGGTTTGGTTTGGTATGGTTTATTTTATGGCATTTTCATATTGCTTTGACCCCAGTTTGAGGGTTAACTATTTGCCAATACTTGGGACCCTAACAGGTGCTACCACCTCGGGTCAGGGTAAACTGAAAACGGCAGCAATTAAGAGGTGGTTCCACACTCCTCAAAGCCTCCTGATCAGATACCTTGCTGTTGGACGTAGTTTATCATCTTACCCGGGACATGGATGTAGTTTATCATCAAATCCAAAACAGGAATTTGAATTACATTGAATAAGTCACAAAAATCTATTCTTTTTTCACTTACTTTGTATGTTTAGTGGAAAAGTGCTACCAATTATTAATTTTCTTGCAACACTTTTCTCTCTTTGTCCCTGTTTCCAACTCAATGATGTCTTCTCATCTTCCTCATAGTAATCTCATTAATATCTTCTTTATGGGGATTAACTCCACTCACTCTAAACCTTGGAACACCACAGAAGCTTCTGTATCAATCAGCTACTTATCATACAGATTGTTTCTCTTAACAAGGGCATGTCTCAGCACTATGTTCTTTAACCATACAAAACAATATACCAGAAATACCTGACCTTGTTTCTCATAATTCCCCATTGCCCAATATATATAAATAGTCTAGCTACCACACATTACATTCAAGCCTGAAACACACTCAGTATTGAACTCGGTAGACACTCTTATATTTATATATGAACTATCCATGATATTGAGCACTTTTACCCATAAATAAAGCATACCTTAAAACTTTATATATATATATAGAGAGAGAGAGAGGGAGAGAGATAATATTAATGGTCAATATATATATATATATATATATATATATATATATATATAGTTGTATATTTAGGCAGCAATCCTTCCTTTATGCATGTTTCATTAAAAACGACAGACAAGGTACTACGGTTGAGCTTTTTATTTAATTTTTCTTGTGTTCTGACAAGAGCTTTCTTTTCTGGACAAAGTGTGTGTAAGAACTGTCCGAATGTTTTATATTTCCAAGCACTTTCAGCTATACCTTTAGCCATTATCAAGGATGATTCGATTATCAGCTTAGTTGAGTGTGTGTGTTCTGTGTATGTATCAGTGTGTGGCAGGGATGTTTTAATTTCCGAATACGGTTAGCACATTGTGGCTTTGTTCATAGTTAATATTGTTAAGAGTTGGCTTTTTTCTTTTTTATTATTAGAGCTGCCATTATTTTTAGTCTTTTTTTGCAAGTGGATGCAGTTAATATATTTGTGTTTTCTCCTAGTATGTTCCTAATGGTGTCTGGTAAATCGGAGTTCAAATGCCCTTTAAGGAACTGCGTTCCTCACCAAACCGGACTCATAAATAATTACATCGGCTACACAACCACATGTTTATCCAGATGTCTTACATTACACCTATCTGATCACAGCTCCATCAGAACACATTTAAACACACACTCAGATAAATTTCCAAGTGGATAGAATTCAGATAGAGCTCAATGTCCAGAACAGAGTAAGAATATAATATAAAAGGCTCAAACACTAATATTCCATAGTTATAATTTAATAGATTGGAATTGTAACCATGACCCAATTCATCAGACCTACAAATTCAAAAAGCATGAATTTGTAGGTCTGATGAATTGGACCGTGATTACTATTCCAATGTAATAAATTATAAGTATGGAATATTAATGTTTGAGCTTTTATATTATATATATATATATATATATATATATATATATATATATATATATATGTGAAAATATATAGAAAATAGGAAGGAACTGGTTAGGTAAATAATCCAAAGTCCCTTAGTATTTTAGTTATTATTTTAAAAAATAGTGCCCGATACAAAAGTGTAGCATAAATATAATTATTTATTTCAAAATATGATATGTCATATTTTTAAATAAATAATTATATATATATATATATATATATATATATATATATATATATATATATATATATATATATATATATATATATATATAAATTAACATAGAGAGATAGTCTGTTTCATGCTATATGCAATCGTCATTGCATATAGCATGAAACAGACTGTCGCCTCTAAGTGTTGATTTCTATGTTCACTTTTATATTTACACACGCTCTATCTCTGATATTGAGCACTTTATCCCATAAATATAACACACCTTAAGACTATATTTCTTCATATATATATATATATATATATATATATATATATATATATTTGAGAGTGGTTAAAAAAATGAAAATTCTGATATTCAAGTACTTTTGACTATACTTGGCCAATATCATAGAAAAGGATTTGACATATAGATAAATAAATCCTTACTAAAGAAACTTCATTGGTCTTTATTTAAAGTTGTATAAAGAAAGGTTTCTTCTAAATACACCCAATATATATATATATATATATATATATATATATATATATCACTTCCATTATAATTTCAACTTTTGAATGTCTTATGGATTGTTGATATCTGTTGCTTTTTATGTTTGTATTTTTATTTATATGTTAACATTTAGTTTTTTTAGCTGGCTTTTCTATCAAAATTATCTTAAAATTTAAAGGAAGTGTTAGTTTATATTTTTATTAAAATAAATTTCCTTTCTTTGATTTTATCATCACTAATTGCAAAACAAAAGGAAGCTTCTCTAAGTAGTGATGATATGTGTGTGTAATTCCATACAAATATACACATAATCAAATATGTGTGTATTGAAGCACACACATATGCAAATATGTGTGTGTTTATTTATTTAAAGGCATTTCTTAATGATTTATTTGTTTTCAGCTTAAATGAAGTCTGTCAAAATATCAAGAAATCTCTTGATCTTAAATACATTGAACATGAATTTAATTTTTTTTTGTATTGTGGAATAAAAGTTTTGTTTTCATCTTTCTAATTTTTAATTCATTTAGACTACCTGTATTAAATTATTAAATTCCAATTTAAAATTAAATGTATAATTAAATGATTAGTTCAGATTTAATATTACATGGACATTTTAAAATTTTGGATGAAAATTTAATTTTTATAAAAGTATATTCAAAATTATTACATGCAAAAAGAATAAAAACAATTACTGTTATCAACTGAAAAGCTTATGTTATTGAATTTAAAATTAATATGAATAATTGAAAATTTAACATTAAAAACAAAAGCTAAAATAAATGTATGTTTATAATTATTAAATGCATATTGATTGAATAATAAACCTATTACATTCTTTTTACAGAATGCCCAGCAAAGGCAGATATAGTTTTTATTTTGGATTCATCAGGAAGTATTGGCAGGAGAAATTTCAAAAAAATCATCAAATTTGTACAAAGCATTAGTAAACATTTCAATGTGAAATCGGATGAAGTTCAAATCGGTTTGTATAAATAAATACATATGCATATTGATATTTACTAAGCTTATCTTAATATTGCACAATATCAGACCGTCCTGGGTATGACGATAAACTACATCCATGTCCAAGGTAAGACGATAAACTACGTCTGACAGCAAGGCCTCTAATCAGGAGGCTTTGAAGAGCATGGAACTACCTCTTAATTGCTGGTGTTCCCAGGGCCATCCTGACCCGAGGTGGTAGCACCTGTTAGGGTCCCAGCTATGGGCAAATAGTTAACCCCAAAACTGGGGTAAAAAGTATTATGAAAAAAATGTTTGTGTGAGCTGCAATGCATAGACTTGCATTTGTGTGTATCTGCGTACATATGAGTGGCATTCTAATGACAATTTTCTTTCCACTACCATAAAACACCGATATACACAACCATAAATAAATCCATATAAAAATATCCATACTGATATACACAACCATTAATAAAAAATATCCATATTGCAACCATAATAAAAAAAATATCCATACCGATATAGGCAACCATAAATAAATCCTATAAAAATAGGTTTTAATACCAGAAATACTTTGTAAAAAATTATTACCAGAAATAAATTTTTGAAGGAAAAAACTATTACCAGCAATACGTTTTTGAAAAAAATATTAATAGCTATATAATTTTGAGGAAAAAATATTACCAGACATAGATTTTTGACAAAACAAAATATTACCAGGAAAAAAAAAGTTGTCAGCATTAAATGACCCATTGAGGTTGATATGCCGTAAAACAAATGACACCAAACCAAACAATGTCAGAATATAGAGAAACTCGAAGATAGATACAGTTATGCCTTTTCTCCAAATAAAGAAAACCCATCTATTTTGAAAATCATTGTCCAACTGCATTGATGTTTATCTGGGCTTAAACAGTAATCATTAACAACAGTTACAATAAAACATATATATGAAATAAAAGAATAGTAAGCTGAAATTTTGCTTTTATTATAGCAATTCTGACATTGGAAGTTTAACAAGATAGAACTTAGTTACTAGTTAAAAGAAGTTATTCAGTCAGTTATGTGTCATGCATGATACATGCTTAGGCAATCTTGTATCTTTTGATACATGACTGACGAGGCAGATTTTTTTCTCACAGTAGGTTGCCATTTTTTTTTCTGCGGTAGACCAGTTGCCATCCAAAGCCATAGAACCCAGCCTGTCCTGCAATTTACCCATAGCTGAGGGGAAAAGAAGAGGATTCATACCTTTACCAAGGGTATTAGCACATATGCGAATGTACTGGATTCAACTATAATTCGAATTTAGCTCTCCAAAATTATTAGATCGCATGAGAAATTGTATAAAAAACTAAATAAAAGCACCTTGTCTGTCATATTCAATGAAATGTGCATATATATATATATATATATATATATATATATATATAAAACTCGTGTCTTTGGACTCTGAACTTAGATTCTAGACAATTATTTTCACTGGAAGTACATGTTCTTAGTCCTTTCTTTTTTTACACTTTTTTTTCCCTTGGGTATTAGTTTGTTCATTTAAAAGTTAAAACACCTAAGGTTTTGCCAGATGAGTATAGCTGCTTATATTTAGATTATTAGTGTTATATATATATATATATATATATATATATATATATATATATAATATAATTATTTATTTAAAAATATGATTCCAAAACACAACATAAGAAGTCTCATGTTTCAAAACAAGAGCCGAAAACTTCAATATAATTATTTAAATTAAATTGAGTTAAAGTAAGCTCTGTTCCATCTTCAAGCGAAATTTTTTGGAATAACGTATATCTGAAATTTACGTGTTTTAAAAAATTGAAATCAAAATTTCCATGGTAACAGCTAGGGCGAATTGTTTAAATTGGGTAAACGAGTGTTGGGTGTTAATAATAAGTATCAGTATAGAGTTACTTTCGTAGATGTCAAGTAAGGGAAAGGTGGGGGTGTCTAAATTTGAAACGGAAGATGTATTAACCCTCGTCTAGTTTGCATGTCTATGGAGATTTATTTATTTATTTATTTATTTTTTTTTTTATGAAAGGGATTTGTGCATATAAAAAAAACTGTCGTAACGTTTGTTTTTTGACGACTTCATAAAGGGTTATCTTTTTGTAGGGTATTTAAACTATTTATTTGGGCTATGGATTATGAAGGGTTTTATGTTGTATGCATGTTTTTAGTTAATTATTCAAACCATGAATCTGATGATTGGGCTATGGATTAAACAAATTATATTTTATGCTTTTTTTTAGCTAATAATTCAAACCAAAAATCTGATGATGTCTACAAAAAACCGTTAACTCGTGTCTATTGTTTAATAGATTATTATTATTTAGAAGCTTGAAAAAATGATAAGCCACTTGACACCCCACAAGATTAACATCATCCCAGATGAAGATATGCATGCAAATTTCTCACATTAAATGATCAAACACAGATTATATAAAATCTACAGCCATCAACTTGTCTTTTTAGTGTAGTTTCAATAACCATAGATGAAAGCAGCATTAAATCCATACAGTATGATGGATATTATATAATAATTAATACAGTATGATGGATATTATATAAAAGGCATCTAAATAGATGCATTCCAGCTAAATATCATCATTAACAAAATGTCTTTGAACAAAATTAAAAATCTAAGCAAATAATATCTGATATTATATAATGAAAAAAATATTTAGTAGTGTTGATGTGAGTGTGTGATCCAGGGTTTCACGCCTTTTGTGATCGTCAGACAAACTGATTAATTTTGAAATTTTGGATTTATTTATGGTTGCGTATATTGTTGTTTTATGGTAGTGGGAAGATGGAAGCCTTATTAATAAAAACAAAATAAAACAACACTTAATAAAATTAAGTATAAACATGGACATAATATCTTGACCATGTTTTGAAAAAAATGAAAACATTTTATAAAACATAAATGCAACAAACTATTTTGTATTTAACAGTTAAAATAGTTAATCTTTAAAAATGGCTAAATGTATAGCCAAAAGTGCTCAGACAAAAAGAACATTCAGAAAGCTTTTATATAATTTATCATCTGAAAAGAAAAAATTGTTAGATTGCATGAGAAATTGTATAAAAAACTAAATAAAAGCACCTTGTCTGTTGTATTCAATGAAATGTGTATATATATATATATATATATATATATATATATTTAATGAACAACAGACACTTCAAGGTACCATGACAATAATTTATTTCACCAAAATCCTTTTTAAGGGATTTTGGATCATCAGGTAACACTTCCAACAATGAAATGAGAGGAAATTATTTAATGAACAACAGACACTTCAAGGTACCATGATATTTAATGAACAACAGACACTTCAAACATTGAGCTCTCAGGATTTCATCCTCCTTGGATTTACCAATTCGGTTTACCAAATTCTTCAAACTTAAATATATATATATATATATATATGCACATTAGACATATAATTAAAAAAATATATCACTTTTAACTGGGTACCTAATCTGGATTACTTTTACTTTAAAATAACATTAAAAATAATTCTTTAAGTATAGCAAGTAGTAGTATTTGCATATTATGATTCAAACATATTATTATAAAATAAATAAGTGCTTGATAAACTCTTGCTTTGGTCCATTTATGAATAAAGATCTTACTTTTGTTATAATCACATTTTTTCAATTAAGGTAATTTCAATTAACTTTCAGCTTAAAAATCATTCCCAGTAAAACTAACCTTTTCTTTTTCTTTTACTTAGGTGTTGACACTTTCAGTGATGTCAGCAGAACTGAATTCAGTTTAAACAAATATAATAATTTGAAAAGCTTGTTGGATGCCATGGACAAAATCCCTGTGTATTTTGGTGTAACTCATATGGGCAAAGCATTAAAAAGATTAAGAGAACAAAGTATGACTGCTGCTGCTGGTGCCAGGCCTAAAGTCACTCACATAGGCATTCTTGTTACTGATGGCAGACCCAATGGTCCATTGGATGTTGTGGCTGAAGCAGAGAAGGTAAAAAAGGCTGGAATTAAATTGTTTGCACTTGGCATAGGACCTCTTGTGAATTATCCTCAACTGGAGACCATCGCTAATCAACCAGCCAGTAAATTTGTCTTTAAAGCAGAAAATTTTGATTCACTCAAATCAATTGAACCTCATTTATCTCGACAATCGTGTGAAGGTAGGATATTTTTAAATTTTATATCTACTAAAATCTTAAAATCTACTAAAAGATGTCCTTAAGCTCACTGTCAAGTCATTTCCTATTTATAGAATTTTCATTATAATTATTTGCAGTTATAGAGTATTTTCTTTATTTATAAAGGAAGTATTCTAAAATTGACTATACTCCAACTACATTTAAAATTCAAAGTCAGTTTTATGATTGCTACTAAAACCTGATCAGTATCTGTCTCATGTTAAATTACTTTTTGTAGTAAAATGTGTAAATGTTCATACTGAAGCGGGGGAATAAAAATAACTAGATTGGCATCTAGGTCCCACCCATTTACTGTTGAAATAGCTAAATGCAACTGCCACTTCTACTCCAGCAGTTTCTTTTCTCGCACTTCCTGCTTGTGGAATTCTCTTGCATTTACTTCCCAGCTAACTACAATCTTCAAAAATGTAAATGCTGTTTCAAACGCCATCTTCTGTCTTCCTGAATCCCATTCATCTTTTGTCCTTTCCTCAATCCTCCCTATACTCAGTCTTTTCTCTCATTTTCACTCCCTGTAACTCCTTATGTACTCATGGTATTCCTGCCTTGGTTAAGGTGAAATGATTAAAAAATTAAGATTAATCATTTTTGCATAAAATAATGACCATCATATAATAAGTTTATTTTGTCAAAAATGTTCATTTCTATAAAAAATATATAATAAAAATATTTTGTTTACAAAATAAAGTGTCATTATTATTTCATGGTCACTATTATTATTTCATGGGCACCATTATTATTTCATGAGTACCATTATTATTTCATGGATGCCATTATTGTTTCATGGGTATCATT